AACGCATTACTTGCCCTCTCATGATCTTTCAACCCGTTAAGACGCGTCAACAAAAAGTTAAACGCGTTGAAACGCGGTTATTTCTTTCATGTGTTCAGTCAACGCGTTATAAAGCGTTGTTCTCTTCTATTCTAATCTTCAAAGCGTCAAAACGGCGTTTTGGCGTTTATCTGTCTGTGTGGGTCTCTACGACTTTTTCTTTCAGAGTTATAGTCAAAAAAATGATCTAAAACGTAACGCTGTGACACTCTGGCGCTGGCGTTACGTGAACAAGCCGATGAGTACCTTTACTAGGGTGATTTAAAGTTTGAAACGTTAAAATCTTTCAGGAATGGAAAGAATTTCGTAACATATAGGAAAAATTAATGTTCAAATGGAACCATATCATGTACTTATAGAAAAGTGTCGGAATTAATTAGATATACTGTTCGTAAATGGGTTACCAATATAGGTAAGCCGAGCAAATTCGAAGGAAGTGAAAAGGGTGGGTGTCGGTAAATGAAGAGAATACTGCGACCCATACACAAACCCACATCCACACCCACTCACTCTTTTTTTTTCTTTCGCTTCAATATTGCCATTTTTCGACACACTATAATCAGAATCTAGAATACATAGCAACAACATTCGGGAGAGTTCGCTGTTATGTATGGGAAAGCAAATAGGGCAGGGTGTGAGTGGGTGCTTCGATAGAAAAGATCCACACCCACACCCCACATAGAAAAATTATTGGCCCAGTGTGAATTGAATTGTGATCATATCGATCTAATCTCAATATGATGAACGATAAAAGTGGCATAGCTTTGCCTGTGATGCCAATAAATAATCGACACAAAATTTTCTCTATTACAAAAGCGCAAAGGTCGTATTGAAAATAGTTGTTTTTTACTGTAAATGAAAATACTTCATCCGCTTCATCATGTAGTGAATTTGTTTTGAAAAAATATAATCAGTGATGAAAAAACAGAGACAAAAACCTCCTGCATTAACAATGAACTACTTGCTCATATCAATAGACAATAAGATTTATCCTGGACAATTACAATTGATTGCTTTTTTGTGATTGTTAATGATAAACAATTGTATTCCAATCGAATTTTCATTTTGAGTTCTTGCGTTGTGAAGAGACAAATTTTACAAGATACAAGAATTTATTTGTGTAATCCTTTTTTTTGCTTATCAAAATAGAATTTTAAAATTAGTTTAATTTATTTAAAATAGAATTCAGAGTTACATTAAAAAAAGCAACGGATAAAATATTTTTGAAAGTTTTCAATATTCAAAAACAGAAAACTGTTAGAAAAGCATTTTTTTTCACTACAGATGCAGCAAAAAACGATCTAGTTTAGTTAATGACAATAATAAAAGAGCACACAAGACCATGTATAAGTGTTACATTAAAATCAGCAAGAAAATTTGTAGTAAACAAAAAAATTATTTTGAAAGATTCAGAGAAAAGAATAGAAACATTCAGTTCGAGTTGCTCATTAGGGAATAGAGAAAGGATATGTTTATATTAGAAATAAGAACTAACTAACTAAGAAAATGTAATATCAATGAATCAGATAATTCCAAAAATTTTGATAGAAATAATCGAAATATTTTTTCATTTCTCGTCCTTAAGATGTAAAACTGGTTTTTATATATTCCTTTTCATATCGTTGTACTGCAACTTCACCTTGACTACCAGCTGTTTTTTTCAATATTTCTTTAGTGACATAATTAGTTAATGATTCTGCACCATTCGAAGTATGAATATCTAATCGTGCACAAGTTCCTGATAGTGGCTCTGCGATTTTTTGAAAATTTGTTCGTGCACCTTCAGAGAGATAAAACGTATGAACGGGAATATTTCTATCTGTAAGTTGCTTAAGTTCATTTTTATAATGAGTTTCAGCTCCATATTTACTTTTATTCCAATATGCTTCTCCTCCATAGGTTTTTCTATCTCTTCTTATTGCATTCGTATCTTTTGCTGGTGCATCTCCTATTAAAATAACTTGAGAAAGTCCCTCCGGTTTTTTACTCTGTTGAACTGCATGCCAGAGTCCTATTTCAATCGCTTCTTCATAATCTCCACCACCTGTAGCAGATACTGTTGTCATAAAAGCTCTTAAATTACTTGGTTTCGATTCCCAAGCAGAACTTTGAAGAATTCGATCTTCTAAACAATCATAATCTCTGTAAACTACAAATTGCATTTGAAATGAATCACTCGGTATCTTTAGTGTTTCTAGAATAGCTGAAGCTCGTTCAAACATTGTACAAACAGTTTCTTTAGCAGCAGATAATAAACTTGACATAGAACCTGTCGCATCCATAAGTAGAACTGTACGTGAACAATCTGAAACTAAATTTGCTCCTCGATTTTGTTCATGCAGAAATGTGTTTATCATTTTCATCTCTCCTTCCAATAATGATCTTAAAAATTCTTTCGACTTTGTATGCTCACGTTTACATTGCTCTATGCCAAGTCCTTTAGCACCACATTTACTTTCATAAAGTTTACTACGAGCTTGTTTTAAAACTTTATATAAATGAGAACGTTCGATTTTTTTAAGTTCTTCGTTCCAAGCTGAACCCAAAATCCATTCTAAATCTCTATTTAATAAAACCATTCTATACGAACCACGATCTCCTTGTCGTGCACCTCTCCCCATTATTTGATATTCTTCAGATAATTCTTCAGAGAAAAATGTTTGAAGAACATGAATACCTCCTTTAGCTAATAAATCTTGATTTCGACATATAAAATCAGTTCCTCGTCCAAATGTTCGAGTTAACAATGTAACTCTACCAATAGTTGCTGCACGTTTAATATATAGATCTCGATCTTTAACAGAAACTTTTTCTGTAATAATTTGTGCATCGTGTTTTAAAGATGATAATTCATCTGAATTATAAAATTTCATTAATTTAATTTCTGATTCAAAAAATACAAGAATCGCACGACTTGCATTACATATTGTATCAATTTCTCCACGAATTCTCATAAAATATTCCGATTCTGTTACTACTTCAACATCAGTACGTTCATCAAATGTACGATTACTACTACCAAATACTGACGGCATATACGTTGTTTTCTGAACTCCATAAACTTCTTGTAAAATAGTTTTTTCTGTAGTAGCAAGTGTTTTCAATGTACCAGTTACACCAACAATAAATCCAAAATCAAGAGGCATTTCAGCATAGGAAAATGTTCCACAATGAATGATAATGCCTACATTCGTTTCTAAACTATTTTGACTAATATTTCCTTTCTGATGTTCATAATAATATGCCCAAACAGTATCATATCCACGAACTACATTATCTACTATAGATTCACCTTCAACATAAACAATTTTATCATCTTGCACAAGATATGTTGATGATTGATAAGATTGTAATGCTGCTAACATATCTTTAATTGCTTCGTCAAAAAGAAATAACCAATGGTTATATTGAGTCGCACAATTTCTATAAGCTGGAAGAGGTTTTACATAGTTTAATCCTTTTAATGTTCTATTTTTCCAGATTTCATCTAACAAAGCTTTTATCAGAGGATTTCTCAAATAAACTGATGGCGTATACATTCCACCATAATATTTGTCACTTAAAAATACATCGACTTCATCGATTAACAATACTTTTAATCGTGATTGTTCTAAATCAGGAACTTTATCGATCTTTTCTCGATTATTTATGATCATATCATGAACTTTTTCTCGAACATTACATTGTTCATTTAATAATTGTTCACATAATTTATTAAAAGTTCCATATTCAATACGATCTTCTATTCCAAGTGCAGTAAATACCGAAGCAAAATCATTCTTATCTCGCATACTTAATACTTCACTATAACACGAACAATTTACATCTACTCCACCAAGAGCAAATACACATGCAGTTACTGCCATCACAACTGATTTTCCTTCTCCGGTTCCTACTTCTACTAAATTGTTAACTAACTGATCTGAAATGGTTTTCTTATAGCGTATTCCGATTACAGGAATTCTATCAATTCTTTGAAAACCAATACCAAGAAGACGGAAAATAGCTATTACTTGTCCGACATGTGGCATTAATAAATAGAATCGTGCTGCATCAATACCACGCGTTGTATTATAATGTTGAGTATTTTTTAAAGTCCATATGGCAAAAATATGTGCTAAAAGTTCGGGAATAGCTTCTCGAAATGAACGACTCCAAACAAAAGTCTCAGATTTATGAGATAATGTTCCAACAAGATATTTCGTTTGTGTAATTAATACTTCTAAATCGGGTTCTGTAGCGGTTTTCGGATCAAACGATTTTAATATAGTCGAAACTAATTCATCATATTTTTTTCTAAAAACTTCATAACGAGACTGTAAAATATCTTTTGCGATATCATCTCCAGTAAGTTCATTTAATACGTATTCTAAATTATCTTGATTTTGCATTTTTTCACGCCGCTTTCTCCAATCTTCTCCTCTTAAACAAGCATGATCACTAATTAATCGACCACCCAGATCATTTTTTTCTAATGCCATTGTCAATAACATAATACCAGCACTACCCTGTTTTTCTTTATAAATGTTTAAAGTTTCATCAATTTCATCATTTATATTTTGATCAAACATTGAGAGATTTTCAGCAAGAAATTTCATTTTAATTAACATATCAGCAACTTGCTCAGCATTCGAAATCGATGTTAAAATAGTCTTACGTAAAGATGCAACTTTGTCAAAAATTTTTTGCTCACATGTATATAAAAATGATTGATTATCGAAACCTGTTAGACGAACATGTTTCTCAAATGATACAAGATGATTATAATACATACGAAATTCATCACAATCTTTAAAAGAGAGTTCTTCTTTTGATGCTTTAGCAAGCAATTGAGTATTCATTTTTTCAATTTTTCTTTTTAAATCTTCTTCTAATTTTTCAATATCCAGTATTGATGAAAAAATATCTTTAAATTTCATTTTTATCTCTTTCAATGTACTTATTATTCTCATCATATTATTAAAAAATGCATCGCGTTTTACTTCGAATTTAGTTGTATCATCACTATATAAATCAACATTTAATTGAGTGTTTAAATCTTTTATCATATCTTCAACTTTAGTAATGATAACTGTATATTGATCAATATCTTTCATCTGTTCTAACATATATTGCATCAAATTATGTTTTGATCGACATTGATTAATTTTCTCTGTAAATCTACTCCATTTCTTTGATATAATCGTTATTTTATATAATTCTGAAATATGTTTCTTAGTCAAAGCACATTGAAAATTTGTAGTCATTGTTCGTAAATATTCAAACATTTCATGTAATCTCTCTTTGCCAGTTTGTAAACTATATTCTGGAATAATTTCTCCATGTTCCTTACTAAATGTATTCGAAAATTCAAGATAAAAGAGCATATCAGTAAAAGCTTTTTCAATTATATTGATTTCTTCAACTGATGATATATCAGCTAAAATTTCGCAACAATGACAAAATTTTTTTGTTGTTAAACTACCAATATTATTACAAATTCCTTGAATTTCTGGAATATAAGCTCCGACATATTCTTGATATTGAAATATTCTTTTAGCTGTATCATAGGCTGATGTTATACGTTTATCGAAATAACTTTCTAAATTCGTTTGATAAACATTTAATTTTTTCAAACTTTTTTCACGTAAAATTTCTAAAGGCTCTCTCATATTATCTTTTTTAAATTGTTCAGCTAAAAGTCCTATTTTTTTAATCGTATGTTCATCTTGATCTAAATCTGTAAATAATGCATCTAGAATTTGTTTATATGCATTTTCCTCATCACTTATTAATTTACTCAATTCATCGATTTGTGTTTTAAATTCTTTTTGTAAATCTTCAGGTAAAAAATATAATGCATAATTTAATGAACGAATTTTAACACGACGTTCATCAAGTGATGAAGCACGTACTGCAGCAATAGCTAAAGTAAAACTTTTTCTTATTTGTTCTAACATTGATGTGTAAGCTTGAGTAAATCTCGCACTACCATGTGATGCAACCATTTTTAATTTACCTAAAAGATCTTTCGGTGGATTAATCGAATAATTTTCAACATTTGAAAAATCTGTCCGTTTTAAAATATCAATAACTATACTATTTAATCGATCATTTAGTTCTCGATATTTTTCAATAACCTCTGATGATGTACAATAACCGGTTAATTCACGTTGTACTCGACTAAGATTTTCCATTCCTTGTTCGGCTTCAGAAAAACTATCAGCGTTCATAAACGCTTCCATTGATAGAAGTGCTTTTAAAATAATTTCTGCTAGAATTTTATCAATTTTTCCATCAAAACTTCGAAGATTAGCTTTTGTTTCATCATCAAGTAATTCCATAATACGATTTTTATGTAATGCAATTCGAATTTTATCAATATTTTCTTTAATCTCGACTATTTGAGCACGATTATTTTCTTCTCTTTCAATTTTTCCGTCAAGCCAATTAACAATACTAAATGTATCTTTAATTAATTTCTCTAACGAATTTTTTAAATCAAGTTTTATTTGATCTAAATCTCTTGAATTAATACGATTATTAGGAATATCCGATAGTGCTATGTCTGCATTGTCATATTCACGTTTATAGATACTTTCTAAAACTTTTCTATATGCAACTTTTGCTTCTGTAATTATCTTTCCTCGATATTGTCTATATAATGATCCAAATCCATTACCAGCAAAATCAGCCATACAAAAAATATCAACAGAACATAATGCTTGAGCAATTGTTAGTTGATCGCTTAACTCTGTATTCTCACGGAGTGTACATTCTTCCATTTTTGTAGCTAAAGTATTATGATATTCACGAAATTTTCTACGCCAACGTTCTAGTTTTTCGCTTCCATCCATTAATTGAAATACAATGGGAAACTTTTCCAAAGATGACAATTCTTGTAAACGTACTTCTAAATCATGAGAATATTGAAAAGGATCTATTTGTGGATCAATAGTACATGCATAATTAAATTTTCTATTGATTTCTTGATCTAAAAAATTTCCATATTCACGTATATATTTTTGTAAACGAGTATTTGTATCAGTTGCTATTTCTTTTACACGATCATGACTAACTTTTTCACATTGACTTATATATAATAAAGCATTATCTGCTGAAGCAGTATCTAATCTATCATTGAAAAAATACGCTTGTTTATTTTTTTCTCGTTCAGCAATAAATCTTGTCTTTTCTTGAATAGATAAATCAAGTGATTCAAAATTCTTAAATCCTTTTTCTTCCAAAAAATTCATCTCTTCCACTGAGGGAGTATTATGTGTAGTCAATAAAGAATCATGTTCTTTTTTTATTGATTCAAGATTACGTAAAGAAATAATAAATTGTGCTTTCTGATCTTGGAGATTTTGTGATTTAAAATCATAATTTTTTTTTACAGTTGTAATTTCTTCGTATACATCTTCAATGTTTATATATCCCTGATTTTTCAAATAACTTTCGATATCAACACTGTTTTGTCTAAGAACTGACTGAATTGCATTCGTTACCATTTCTATCATAGTACCTTCTTGCTTTGGATATGACATTTCGACATATTTCCGAATGATTTCATTCAAACGATTTAAATGAGATTCTAACTGACGTAGTTCAGATTCTATTGTCTGTAGTTCTGTCTTTTGTTTTACTCTTAAATCATCGATTTCACGATTCAATATATTACTATCTGAATAACCTTGTTTTTGTAAATAGATTCGAGCTGGATGTAATTTTTCATATTCTCTTTTAATTTCTTCAAGTTCTTTCAATTGTTGTTTTATTAGATAAACATCCTGATCTTCTAAATTAAAAGTTTTTTGAATACGATCAAATGCACTTTGTGTACTTTGTAAAAATCGTTGAAGTATCTTATTTCTATATTTTTCTAGTTCGGGTACACAATGCTCTAAAACACTCAACAATTCAACTTTTGCAACAATATCTTGCGCAAGAGGAATATTATTTGGATATTTTAAAGTAAAATCTACTTTCATTAAATTATTATCTAACTGACAAATATATTGTACTAATTCTTCTGTAATTCGGTGCATTAAAGTTTCGTATGTTCCTGAACTAACTTGATCGAACCATTTAGCATTTTTCAAACGTGCTAATGATCTTGCGAGTTGTCTGTAATTAGTAATTACTTGCTGTTGATCTAGAGTAAATAATAATTGTTCTGCATCTCTTTCTAACTGTTGCATATAACCACGAATATTTTCAATAGCTCGATAATATGTACCAGCAGTCAATGATTCGAGTTCTGGAATTTTTCGAACAGCATTCATATCATCAACTAATCTTTGAATATCTTCTAATGCATGATCTCGATTCTTTACATAAAGTTCATCAATTCTCCTACTAATTTCATCAAAATAATTTGTGATTTTCGTAATTAATTCATTATAGATATTAGTCAAAAGTGTTGGAACAACTCTTGAGACTCGATTTACAACTTGTTGATCTGATAGATCATTTTTTATTTGCCACGTATCAGTATATATTACAATACGATCTTGAAGAGGAGCATATTCTTTAGCAGATCTTACTATATCTACGTAACTTTGAAGATTTTCAATATCGATATCACTTAATCGAATCTTTTGTAAAATTGGATCTGCTTTTTTTAAATAATTATTCAAGTGTTGCAAGAGTTGATTAACTATGTCTTGATATTTCTTGACGACTGGTATACTTAGATGATCTTTCAAAACAAGCGCTGATTTATAAATAATCAGAATAATATCGGCAATTTCTTTAAATTTATTTGTTGGAATAAGATCCGATGCCGATTGTAGGAGAGCTTCATAGCGCTGTTCAAATTCCTTACAAGTACTATTATAATCCATATGAAGTTCTTCAAAAGAATTTTTTAGCATACGAAAATTATTTAAATATACTTCAATAAAAGGATTGTACAATTCTCCTTCATATAAATTTTGTTTTATCTTATTAAGTTCAAAATTGATATTTTGCATTAACACTTCAGGTGTTAACAAACTCGATCCTATATGATCTTTCAAAATTTGAATTTTTTGAAGATATATAACTGCAGTTTTATAATTACGAATATCCTCTTCTCGTAAACCATCTTGACTCCATAAAGCACGATTAAATTTCTCTTTTATGTCTGTACAATATTCGTTAATGAAGTCAATTACCAAATGTATCGCATCTTCGTAGGCATCTCGAACAAAACTTTGTTTAATCATATCTTTCAATGACTTCAAATCATTTAAATAATGTAGAACAAGTTCATGAGCCTTGTGTTTCATAGCGCAAACTATATTGAATTTATCTCTTTGCAAATGATTCGTAATAATAGATCGTGTATCTTCGCTCATAGGAAATCGAAAAACTTCTCCTGGAAATCGAATATCTCTTATACGTCTCAATCTTCTAATCAATGTTTTCGGCTCATCATCAACAGGATCAATTATGAACACACTATCATCGGTCTTATCGACCATATCTTTCAAAACAGTCAAAAATGCTGTATCATGCTGTAAACCCCGCTCTATGTTGATATTCGTAATTATATCTAATAACACAGCATTAATATTGGCTGTCTTGGGATATTTTGTAAATATATAAAAAATAGCATCAAGTTTATCTTCTATTCCATTGATCATATGAATTAATATATGTGCCAATTTCTTAATTCCTTGTCCTCTATCACCTACACTTTTAGAACTTGATAAAGCAAGTATTTTCACACTTGTAGCACCTTTAATCGCTTCAAGAATTCCTACAGAATTAGCAATATCTACTTCTGGACCTGCTGTATCACCGATTCCTGGTGCATCACATAAAACCATGATACCATTCTCATGCGCACCTAAAATTTCTTGCAAACGTATTGTAACAGGCGCAATATATCGTGTTTCTGATTTACTCGATGGACTAGTTGTGATTTTCATCAAATCAGGATTTTTCACAGGTCCTACTACTTCAATGTGTTCCAAAGACTTTCCAGAAGCAATTTTCTTTAGAGAATGTTGCATCTTACAACCTGCGAGAAATTGAATCGTCGTAGATTTTCCAGATCCTGTCTCACCTACTAGCAAAATAACATCCTTTCCACGAATTAATAACGCTGCTGCGTTCGCTTTCGAAACGAGTCTTTCTATTTCACGTACATTCAATGGTCTGATTTTTCGAAGAAAATCTTGTAAAGCACACACTGCATCTGAACAATGACCAGTACGTGTAGTACTTTCTAATTCCTGTAGACTAGTTTGCATTTCTTGCGAATAGAATTCTTGACTTTCAATCTGCTCTGTCAGTTTACCTAACTTTTCATTCACTAGATTTTTATCGGTCGAATACACATTTCCATTAAATAAACATTGCTCAAAATGCAGTAGTAGTTCCAATAGAATTTTCTCTGCACATAAAGGCAAATTCATCATATCTTTATCTAGATCTTGAAGATAAAGTCGTTTTTTCTCCTTCTCATCAGGAATTAGCTGACTAGAACTTTCGTCAGCTGATTTTCCAGTTTCATTTCTATTTAATTTCTTCTCTATAGTACTGATGGATGGAGTAGAATCACTACTCATTCGTTTCCACATGAAGTCTAATTCTTTAAGTTTGGCTAAATATTTTTTTTCATGTTCGACATCGTCAGTTCTCTCCTCATTTTCATACTCTTTGATTAATTCTTCTGTTTTTCGGATTGTTTCTATCAATTTCTCTGGATCATGAATATCTAATTCTTGCTCTAACTGAAGAACTTCTAATTGATCAAGATTTTGAGAAGAGAACATGTTAGAAGTTAATTCAGATATTTTAGTCAGAAGATTTTGTAATTGTAGAAGTTCGGCTAAATATTTTTTTTCTTTCTCAGCAGAGTCCATTCTTTTGTCTTTCTCATAGTCTTTGATTCTTTGGCTTGTTTTCTGTATTCTCTCTGGCAATATTGCAACATCTCGAATTTTAAGTTTTATCAATCCATCATTTAATTCCTGCTGTAATTCACAAAGTTTTTTTTCATTACCTTCTTTTTGAGTGTTTGGAATTAAAGTTGAGGTAGTTGCTTTATTCGTTACGTAACCATATGAATGCACTGTGGCTGAATATGTGTCGGTCATGTTTCCATCTTGAATAGTGGTATATGATTGTTGCCCCTCTTGATTTAAAACATTTGAACGCGAACTATTTTGAACTGCCAATATTAGATTTTTAATGGTAAATGTTGCACTAAGTTTTCTATCATCATGTTTATAGAAATCTTTTATTCGTAGAGCAGCAGATGGATAAACATTAGCAAATTGTTCTTGTAAGGTAACTGGAATGGTATTTACTCCACTCACTGAATTGATATATTCAGCCCGTGTGATTTGTTTCGATGCTTGAAATTCGATTAGAATACCAACCCAATATGAATTTTCCACAAAACATGGGATCAGAACGATGCGTTGTCCTGAACGATATTGACTTTCTTGTTGTAAGTGCTGTTCCAATCCATGTTGATTATTATCCGTAATAGAAGGAAGTACATGTATTGGTTGTGAAAAATAATCAGAAGATATTTCACGTAATTTTTCCAATTGAACTGATAAAAGTTCTCGTATATCATTATATTCGAATTGATTATTTTTTGAAGTTTCCATTGATTGAAATTTTAACTTTTATATGAAATGTATTAGAACAACGAACTATATTGAATGTTCAAATACAGAACGTTTTAAGAAATTATCTAAAAGAAAATATTGTTTCAGCATAATTGGAAAACTATAATATCCACGTTTTTCAGAAGCTTCTTAAAGGAAAATCTACCTAGCAGAGTTCATATACTGATCACATTTGTTAACAAGTGATTGATTTATCAGATTAATACAAAACTACTACTTTATTTTTCATACTGTCTCTCTTTCTCTCTGTATATATATATATATGTCAACAAGTAAGGAAAATGCCAACAATATTCAGAGAGAACCAAGATGAGAGAGAAAAATAACTCAACAATATTACAGGAAGTAAATGATCGGAAAATGCCAGAATGAAGAAAAAGAAGAAAAATGATATATATGCAAACTATATGCGTCATCTAAGTAAAAGACAGTAGAACAAAGAACAGAAAGAGAAATCTCCAACATGAGTGAATCACACTATACTAACATTGCTGAGGGCTTACGAGAAGCAGCTGTTTTTTCTATCCATGGTAATTCACAAGAATCTCTTCCAATTATGTTTTTGTGCAGAGTAAAGAAGATGATAAAAGGTCATTAGATTTTTCTTCACTCTGGAAACATTATTGTTAGATAGTGTGGAATATACCCATCACTCCAGTACCTTTTCTGTTCTCTTTCTTTTCTACACTTATATGTTATTCTCGCTATTATATTATTTCTTTCGTTCTCTTCGTTAGATTTTTCCTTTTCTCTTTCGCATTGATAGGATTTTTCTACTCATGGATTTTCCCCATCATTGTTCCTACATATTAGTGGTGATTTTTGAAAAGAGAGGGTAGATAAAGAATAAAGAAACGAAATGTGAAAGTTAAACCTAACAATTATAAAATGAAAGAACCTTAGTAGTATACAGCTGCCTTGATATTAGTTTATTAAGATCTCGACACTTTTGCGGATAAAAGCTTCAGAAACGATATGTCTATTTTCTAGAGGTCTCTGTGGGACCCAGGTGCTCAAAACTTTGCGCATATGGAGGTCTCCGCTAGAGCAGCTTTCATAAAAAATTCAGAACTTTTGAACAAAGTCTCTTCAAGATATGAAGCTTTCAAGATATAAGCATTTGTCCATCGATAATCATGCAACACGCATTTTTGGAAGCTTCATATCTCGAAGAGACTTTGTTCAAAACTTCTGAATTCTTTTGAAAGCTAGTCTAGTGACGATCTCAATATGCACAAAGTTTCGAATCAAAATTCAAAAATACATTTTTTCGAATACATGGAGTCCTTCCTATAGAGATCTCTAGAAAATAGACATAACATTCCTCAAGTTTTTGTCCACAAAAGGAACGACACCTTGATAAATCGATATTGAGACAGTTCTATACGGCTAAGGTTCTTTCATTTTATAATTTTTCTAGACGGAGGAAAAATCTGATGATTTTTGATAACCTTCCTTCATTCTAGCAAGCTTGACACATGGTGTTCTTTTCAATTTTCATTATATACATGTAAGTGAAGTGTGAATCATATTTAAACGAAAACACCCCATAGTGGTTCGAGAGCCCGTTCAAAGCGTTTCAGCTGTGTTCCAGCTAGAGCTTGATGGGCTCTATCCAATTGCATAATCAGATTGTCCAAAGCTCAGGCCATGAGCTCCCACACTCCACCTATCTTTCATAACCTTGAGTAAGTTTGTTTCCAGTAAAGAACAGAAAAAGTTTGATTATGCTGACAAATGCACGGCATCTCGCTCTTTCGTCATGGACTGTTAAATCTAACCCCTTATGTCATTATTGACTCTTAACTATGCCCCTGCTGAAGACTGAAATTTTCAATCACACTATTTAAAAACTAGATAATCATATTCACTATATTATATTACAAGATTAATTATTGTTTTTTTCAACTTCTTATCTTAGATATTGGTCTCACTTGATAGAGAGTTAAAATTTCGTTTTGGAAATATTCTTCGAAAAAGGTATTGTCACGTATTGAAAGTTATGTTAGAAGATCGGAAGTTAAGGTGAATTCCTCTAGTTTATTTATGCGTGAAGAAATGAAAAGAAGATAACAGAAACAGTAATTCAGTTATATGGAAGAGAAGGAACCTGAAGAAGAACAACCCCACTAACTCGACAACGATCACACATATAAACGGTGGGTCCCAAAATTATCCGGCAAGGTTTATTTTCAATTTTTTCCGCTACCTTAACCGTTAGAAAGACTTCAAATAGTGATTTGAGTAGAGAAACTTGTTTCCAATAAGAATTTAACAAAATAAAAACTATAGCAAGATTCTCAAAGACGGGGTCTCCTAAAAACCAAAACCCTAGAATTTCAGCACCCAGAAATCGTTAATTTCTTTGTGTTTTAACAGCCTAGGATGATAGCGTAACCAATTCTCCAAAAAATGAGACGTCTCCGAGCTATCTACGACTTTCTCTTCAACAGTTATAAGCATCACAAAGAAATTAACGATTGCTGGGTGCTGAAAACCTAGGATTTTGGTTTTTAGAAGACCCCGTCTTTGAGAATCTTGCCATAGTTTTTATTTTGTTATATTCTTATTGGAAACACGTTTCTCTACTCGAATCACTATTTGGAGTCTTTCTAATGGTTAAGGTAGCGGAAAAAAATTGAAAATATACCTTGTCGGATAATTTTGGGACTCATTTTATGTATATATATATGAAGTTATAACTTCAATAAACATGCTAACTTCGATACGATATATATATATCAGCGCACTGGGAAAGTTCCAATGTGCAGTGGAAAAATATATATCAAGAAAGGAAAAACGAAACTTGGAAAATTCCAACATACATGAATAGTGACCAGTGGGAAAATCCAATGAGTCATTGCATCACAGGTATATATTAAATTTTGTTTTTCTAAAAAGATTCACATTGAAATCTGCGAATATTTTCTTATTTTCTTTTATAACACTGTAACTGAATTAGTATTCATTGTGATCACATGCTCATTTTATATATCATAAGTCGTATTGTTGTTTTTTTTTGTATGTAGAAAGAATGAAGTTATAGTACAGCATACGAATAACGAGGTATTATTTTTTGTTTGTTGTCATTTGAAACTCCCACACGCATACGGTAAGACAAAAAGACTGAGTTCAACATACATAGTAATTTTGAGCAGCATGCATATCACATGTATCAACATAAATATAATTGAATGTAAATAATTTTATTGATTTATATGAGAGTTTGATAATAAACAGAAATTTTCGAACCTCATAGATTCTCTATTCGGAGATTTTTAAAATGAGACATTTTTCAGTTTTGTCTGGAGAACATTAAACGGAAATTTCTACCAAAGCAGCTGAAGAACATAAAAACATGATATCGTATGAGATAAAGATAAATATGGTTTGCTATGCCTATAACCGTTCTCTTTCTTTTTTTCTCTCTCCACAAATAGAAAAAACAACCGTACTTACACTATCGTGTTTTTACATTAAAATGAATCGCTAACAGACTTTGCCCTAAGTACATGTCTTCGATGCATTTATTGCCTGAAAAAGCTTCGATAAATATAATGAAAGAAGGATCGAGATAGATGACAGAAGAGAGAGAAAAAATGAAAACATTTCATTTTCCCAGTTGACTTGTTAATAACATGAGAATTAACATGTTTTTTCTCTTGTCTTTTCGTTCTGTTTTAAATATTGCATTGTAAAAAAAGGAGAGATGGTATAAATGCAATGCTTAGAAAAGAAAGAAAGGTAAGGGCCTTGTTTTCATTACATTTTCGTATTGAAAATGATTTTCTTTCCTTCCGCTGAAGGGAAGATCATATGAAATCAAATGTGTGTTTGCTTGTGGGTTTGTCACAGGAATCAAACATTAGTGTTGAATTGAAAAACAAAAACGTATGTCAAACGAGTATTCGATAGATTTTTCACACTCCTAAACCGATATGGATTCATTTAATCAGCGTCTTTTGTCGATGATTATTCCATCAGCAAGATATTACTCAGAATCTCAACCATTAATTGATTAATCTATTATTAAGAAGTGTATGTACTACTCTTTCTCTTATATATCAATTCATGCGATTAGTACCATTAGATATTTTTCTTTGAAATTAAGAATTTATTGTTAATTTTTTGTAATCTATCATGATAAAACTTGAAAAAGTTAATTATGATACGAAATTGTACTCAATGAATATTAAATAAATGTTCAATTGTTTTCTTTAATTGTACTTAATTATTGAATTTACTGACATTTTTCCTTTTTTGGATTTAGAAGACTATTGAGAATATTTCTTTTTCTGAGAATTTATCGTTTCTATACGATTTAATCGAACTTTTGAGAAAAGAGTATCACATTCGAAAAATGATTTCTAAACANTGGCCGATTGTTGCTTCTCTACCGCCGTTTTAAAAATCTTTTGTGCGGGCTCATAGGGTGTTAGGGAGCGCTGGGCTCCCTCCAGCCTACCGGTGGTGCCGCCACTATCTCTATATCTTTTATCATCTTCATATTCTTTCATTTTACCACCCAGAATACGATGATATTCAAGAAATTCTCGATGCCAATCTTTTACTTTCACAAGTCCATCAATACATTCAAAAACATGCGGAAATCTACTAAGAGATGATAACTCTTGTAAACGCATTTCTAAATCTTGAGAATGTTGAAAACGACCTCCTTCAGCGTCAATACTAATTATATAATTGAATTTTTTACTTATTTCTTGATTAAGAAAATTACCGTATTCACTTAAATACTTTTTCAAAATTTCATGGGTATCAGCTGCACTTTCTTTTACACAATGATGGTCTACTTTTTCGCATTGACTTAAATACACCAACGCATTATTTGCTGTAGACGCGTCTATTCTGTCACTAAAATGGAATGATTGTTTATTTTTTCCACGTTCACCAATAATTCTCGTCTTCTCTTGTATATTTTCGTCAAGTAATTCATAACTATTGAATCCTTTTTCTCGAAGGAAACTTATTTCTTCAGAAGATACTAAATTACGTGTAGCTAATAATGAATCGTGCTCTTCTTTTATTGATTCAAGACGACTTAAAGAAATACTTAATTCTTCATTTTGCTTCGTACTCCATTGTAATTTGTTACGATAACTTTTTTCGGTCTCTGCAATCTTTTCGCACACAACATCGATACTTGAATATCCTACCGTCTTTAAAGAACTCTCTGCCTGTGTACTTTTACCGTGCAATGTTCTTCCTAGCATGCCAGACAGTTCTCCAGCTACACCTCGATCTGTCTCCGAAGGAGATAAATTCATATATTCTCGAACAATTGAATTTAAATTCTCTAACGTATACTTCATGTCATGTTGTTCAGTTTCTGCTACTTGAAGTGCACCTTTTTGCTTAGTTTTTAACTCTTCAATCTCACCATTCAGCATAATAATATCTGAATAATTGTGTTTCCGTAAAAATATACGAGCTGGATGTAAATTATTACATCCTTTTTTAATTTCTTCGAGATTTTTCAACTCTTGTTTTATTAGATAAACATCTTTATCTTGTAAATTAAAAGTCGTTTGTATACAATC